AATCTGCAGACTGTGATATGTTCTCGGTGTTTGATAATGATTCCATATTTTGGATTATAGAACCAATGGAAGGCAGCTGAGTCATAATTGGAACCTAAGAAACTTTACAAGACTGTTGTTGAATTGTAGCAACTGAAGACACTATATTTATATGGAAATATTTCTTCATCTTGTATAACATGTATAGACAGTATCAACTTCCTTGTATGCATATTATAGCACACTACACCTTTATACCATTTTACATAACCAAGAAACACACATTGTGCTGACCTTTACTAAAACTTGTTCTTATTATAGGGCCTTAAAAATGGATATATAGTTGTCCAAATACTCTCCAATGGTGTACTTCTGGAGTATGACCAAACAAGACTTGATATGATGACTTCATTTGCAGAGTTCTACATGGCATTCTATTAATTAAAAATGCAACATGTGAGCATGCATGGTACCAGAATGTTGAATTCAAATTTGCATCAGACATCAAAGTTATTGCAGTCTCAACTATATGTCTATGCTTTCTTTTAGCAAGTCCATTCTGTTGAGGAGTATATGGACAAGACACCATGTGAACAATTCCTTTATTCTTAAGAAAACTAGTAAACAATTTACTCATGTATTCTCCTCCCCCATTAGTCTGTAAGCATTTGATAGACACATTGAACTGATTTAAAACAAAAGCATGAAACTCGACAAATATCTGAAATACCTCTGATTTACTATTCATTGGAAAAATCCACAAAAAACGTGAAAATTCATCTACAAAGCTTAGGTAGTATCTATATCCTTCTATTGGCAATTTTGGAGATAGACCCCATACATCAGAATGGATCTTTTTAAACAAATGTGTAGCCCTAGTTTGCTTTACAGGGAAAAATTGTTTAGTCATTTTTTCATGAATATAAGATACACAAAGAGAATGACAAGAATCTGTACTAACTGAAATCTGTGAACTCTTCAACATAAGTACCAAGATATCTTCTGCAGGATGTCCCAGCCTTCTATGCCATACTGAAACTTGAACCTTCTTTCCAAGAAAAGGAACACACTTATTCAACCTTGCAGCAAAAGAATTATTGAAAACATTGATTAGTATAGTGAACAGATCCCCACCATCACTCTTTCCCTAGTATAGTATCACCTTTGTTGTCTTGTCCTGTATAAAAAAATACTACATCATCACATATAAACCAATAACCCTTATCCTTGCATAACTTCTTAACAAAGTAAATTCACAGTAATATTAGGAACATATAAGATATTTTTCAGTAATAAAGGAACAATAAAACTTAACTAGTCCAAACAAAACTAATTGAAGTATAACCAAATAGGCCAAACACAAAAATCAGCAACATATACATTATATTCTAGTAGTACAAGTCAAGTGAGATATACAAGTCATGTTTTCTCAGAACAAAATGAATCAGTCTCTGCAACTAGCAACTCTGTGAATTTAGTGAATTTTGATTCTGCAAATCAAAGTCCTCATTATCATCACCATCACTTTGGTACACAAGCTACATCTCAATCACCTTTGTTCCTATCCATCAAAGCTCTCAACTTGAGGTAATTCTTCCACCTATTTCACCAGTATCTCATTCTTTATCAGAAAGATCTATGGAGAATCAAATTATTACATCAGTTCATCCAATGGTGACAAGACTAAGAAGTGGTACAATAGAGAGGAAACATTATGCTGCTTACCTAGCTATTATTCCTAAGCTTCAAACACTATAGCTACTTTTCCTGAGCTTCAAACACTACAATTAAGTGATGATGATTCATTTCATGGAGGATATTCATTTATCTTAAAGATTACAGATGCAACTGAACCTTTATGTTTTAGGAAAACTGTATCAATTCCTCAATGACAAAGTGCAATGCAGGAGGAATATGACTAACTTAAAGCTCAAGGTACATGGACCTTGGTTTTAGCTCCTAAAAATAGATTTATTATGGGTAGCAAGTGGGTTTACAAGGTAAAAAAGAATCTAGATGGTACTGTTTCAAGGTACAAGGTCAGATTGGTTGCACAATGCTTCTCTCAAGAACATGGGGTTGATTACACTGAAACTTTCAGGCCACTAGGAAGACATACAACATTGATGATTATACTTGTTATTGCTACAATGAATCATTGGGAGTTGAGACAATTAGACAAAAAACTGCATTTTTGCATGGAGATTTGCAGAATGAGGTATATATGAAGCAACCTCAAGGATTTGTTGACAGTTCTTATCCAACACATGTTTGCAAATTATTAAAATCACTTTATGGTCTAAAACAAGCTCCAAGGCCTTGGAATTCAAAATTTACAAGCTATCATCTAGTTATGGGGTGTTCTGCGTCACTCTTAGATTCTAGTTTATTCATGAAGACAGAAGATGGGGAGACTATCATACTACTTTTATACGTAGATGATATAATTCTCAATGGATCAATTCTATAAAAATTTAGAAAACCATTGAAGAACTAGCTACAATTTTAGACTTGAAAGATTTGGGGAAGCTTACATACTTTCAGGTGGTGATATCTTTGTTAATCAAGCAATGTCTGTTAGGGATTTGATTCATAAAACAGACATGGACTCTTGTAAACCAGCTACAACACCTTGCAAACCTCACAACCAATTACTTGCCTCAGAAGGGACAATGTTCACAGATCCAAGTATGTACAAGAGTATTGTAGGATCATTGCAATATCTGACCTTCACTAGGCTTGATATTGCTTTTGTTGTCAATTCAGTTTGCCAATTCATGACAACACCAACCGAATTACATTTTGGGGCAGTGAAGAGGATTCTGAGATATCTTCAAGGAACAATAAATTGTGGTATAGTGTATTCAGCAAAGACAGAATCCAACTTGGCAGCATTTTCAAATTTAGACTGGGCTACTGACTTGAACACTAGAAGATTTGTGACAAGATATATTATGTTTATTGGGATTAATCTTGTGTTTTGGCAATCAAAGAAATAGTCCTCAATCTTAAAGAGTTTAACTGAAGTAGAGTATAAAGAGCTCTTGCACACACTGTGGCTAATATTGCTTGGGTGAGACAGATTTTGAAAGATGTAAAGTTTCATGTTCCTTATCCACCCATCATATATTGTGATAATATGTCAGCTATATCATTGAGTGCTAATCCCATTTTTTAGTCAAGGATAAAACATTTAAACACAGACTATCACTTTGTAAGGGAACGAGTCCAAAAAGGTGATTTGGAAGTGCTCTATGTACCTACTGAAGAATAAACAATAGATGTGTTAACCAAAGGTTTACAGTTTCTCATTTCTTCTGCATTGCTACAATCTTAAGCTGGGAAATCCCAGTTAAGATTGAGGGGGCATGTTGACTATCATTGACCAAATGCCAACTCAACATAGTTTGTTAAGATTGCCAGCTCAACATGGTTTGTTGAAATATGGTACTACAACTGTTTTAGACAATTAGAATAGTTGTTAGCATGTAAGCTAAGACACTGTAGCTATATAAGCTGATACTCTCTGTAATTCTCTTGAATTTGAATTTTTCATACATTCAATACAATCAGTATATTTTCCTCAACTTTCTCTCTCTACTTTCGTCATTGCTTTCTTGTTTCTTTAATCTCCTGCAATGGTTATAGTCTATTTTTTCGATATTATTAATAATATGCTTTTGTCGATCCTTCCTGCTTCGCATATCTCGCATCAAATGTTCAATTGTTTCAGTACTCCCATCACAAAACAAACAGGTAGTCTCCACATACATCTTCCTTTTCCTGAGATTATCCTTGGTTGGTGGAGCATCCATGCAACACCGCCACACAAAAATTTTAACCTTCCTCGGCACACGGGCTAGCCACAATGCTTTTCATAAGAACTTTACTTCCAGGATCATCATTGAACCACTCGGTTCATTACCACTTACCTCCCCACACGCCCTCGCTAGATGGTATGCACTTCTTCTTGTGAATTTCTCATTCTCTGCTGCATTCCAAATCAAAGTATCATCCGTTTGAAACAAACTGAGGGGTATTCGTTTGATCAAATTGTGACCAAGACAAAAAATCTGTCTTTAGGAAGATGCTTGGCTTGAAATAGTCATGCCGCAATTGACGTTGGTTGTTGTAGTAGCCTTCACCCTTGCTTTACAAGCATCGCAAGATTGAAAGCGTAAAGATCTTTAAAACCCAGACCACGGTCAATAAATCACATCTCATTTTTCTTTGCCAACCAAAGAGAGTTTAATAATATAAGTAGATTGTTTATTAGAAAGTCCTAAGTTTGAATTTTCCATATAATTTCTATTTTGTTTTCTTATAAAGAAAATAGAGTGAATGACAAACTTATCTGTTTAATGCATTTTATTGTAAGTGATATACTTGGAATATTTTATTTCTTTGTCAATAGAATGCTTAGAGTATGTTTGGAATTGCTTACATAAGAAGCATTTTCGGTCAAAATATCATATTCTGAAATCAACTATTCATATTATTTTGGTTTTGATACAACAATATATTTACAATAAGAGATTGGAGAATAAATTAATTTCAAACTATCCATACTTAATATCTCTCACTTACAAATGAAAAAAGAAAAGAAAAGAGTACTAAACCTGTAGTGACACAACTTTCATATTTTTGAATTCGTGTACCAACCAGAATCACTACAACTTGCCCAAAATGACCCTTGTAACCACAAGCCATTGTAAATTAGTTTACACCACCTAAAACCCAGATTGAATTAGCTCTCGTACTCCTCCTAAACTCGTGAAATTTCTCCGATGCACATTAAAAAATCTAACGAATCTTGTTCAAATATATAACTTAAATGTGCAGGTTTAAGTATTTTGTTTTCGGCTGTTGTCTACTGAACCGTTACATAGTTTGAATTGCTTGCTACCGAATAGAATTGGGCTTCGAAGGCAGTGAAGCCCAACAGTTCCCAATAGGCGGCATCTGAACTCTTGAGGCAAAACGACAGCGTCCGAGCGTAGTTTGTGCGATTTATACATTGTTTCAGTACAGAGTGATCATTGAGCCGCGTTAATAGGAAGAAGACGAAGAAGAACCCTCTAGGGTTTACCAGATAAAGCTCTACCAGGTACACTCTCTCTCTCTCTCTCTCTCTCTCTCTCTCTCTCTCTCTCTCTCTCTCTCTAAGATATGCTTTGGTCTGAATCTCAGTAAACATTAACTGTTTGAGAATTTAGGGAAAGTATGCTTTGCTATTTTCTGATAAACGTTGCAAAGAGGAACGAATTAGAAACTAGGATTTGTGTTGATGCGTGGAGGCGTTTTGATTGTGCTTGAATTATGTGAAATGGCCATAACTTAACAGTCAAGATCTGTGAGTTTGTTAGTGGGCTTTTGAAGTAGTTATTTATTTAATTATGTGTTAATTTTTAGACGGGGAATTTTGGATTGACTTGTAAACTTTTTCAGTCTAATTAATCGATTTGTTTTGTGAGATAGCTCGTGGAAAAAATGGAACAGTGGTGTGGTGCAGGGAAAAAAACTGACTACATTCTACAATTCATTGCCTTTTTAATTAACTTGGATTATGATACCAACATGCTAACCCCTGTATAATTAGGATTATGCTTTGGTGGGGACGGATGGGGTTGGTTTTACAGTTGGCTAGGCGACTTGGTTTACAATGCAGTTGGGTCACGGAATTTTCAGTTACTTTAGAAAAGCGTAAATCCTGGGATGCCAGATTTCTACTAAGCATACTATGAAAGAACTTGTAAACGGCTTACTATGAAAAGGCAAGGAAAGTGGACGTTCTCTCCTCTTCGACGAACTAGCAATACATTGTTTTCTTGTTTTTCTCCACCGTTTGGTAAAGATTTGGGCTTGGGGTTGTCTTGCTTTTTATCCTTTTGAGTGAATGGGTCTTTCTCATTCTATAGTGCTTTTATTGTGGAGCAACTTCTTGACTTGATGGTGGCAGAGAGTTGATTCTTCCAACTATCCCACCAACATCCATTTCTCCTTGCAAACATCACTTCTTTGTTACGATAAATTTTAAGGTAACTGTTTTCACAGGTAACCATATGCACTGAAGTGGGATCACAAAACAAGCAGTTTCGTTTGTTTTTTTTTTCCCTTCTGAGAAATAAGATCATCAAATCTCAGCTCACAAATCTTATCATGAGTGATTGTACTTGAATCTTGGGAATGGAAGAAGAAAGCTGAAGCTTTGAAGAGAATATAGATTTTTAGGCTTCATTTGTTTTCTCTTTACTTCCGAAACTGGTCACAAAAGGTCATTTGTCTTTCTTTTCAAAGGCTAATCCTAGCATTTCTTTGAAAATGCTCATTTGGATTGTAAGATAATGGATTATTTGCTACATACGCACTTAACCTGTATGCTTAGGTGAGAGAGAGACCGCCTCTACTCTTGTTTGCATGGTGGCTAATATGTGGCTTCAGCTGTGTAGTCTGGTGACAAATTGGAAATTGGCTCTGCTGTTACCTGTGGCTGCCTGCTGTCATTGTGGTTTTTTCTTACCCTTTGCTTGGATGAGGGACTTCAATGTTCCATGGAACTTAGGCTAAATTTGTTAAAAAATAGGAATGCACTGCAAAAATTAGATAGAAGGACTTGCAAGACGACTAGAAACAATACATTTGAGAGAACTTTCAAATGACTCCTTGAGTGGTGCTTTGTAGTGTATTGTAGTGTTTTAGTAGTAGCTATCAAGTGCTCGAGTAGTTCATGGTAGCGTCCAGTGCATTTTAACTAGTCTAAAGTTCTCTGGGACTCTGAAAGTCCCTCATCCAAGTCTAAATTTCTATGTTTATATACTTAAGCTGGTTTGCCGGACTAGATTTTAAGCTCAAATAATTTGATGTTTGCAGGGTGTGATAGGTTATTTAATATATAACATTTTTGCTTATTTAATTCATTTGTATTGTAGGATTCGATCTCACAGGAACAAATTGTTTGCTGTTCAAATACCAGACAGAATCAATGATGCAGTTTACCCCTAGTGAGGGTGAAAATGCTTTGTCGGTAGTTGGTCCGAGGCCAATGGATTTGTCTACATACAATGGTCGCCCAGCACCTGGACCAAATGGGAAACAAAGGACTTCCAGCTTGGAATCACCGATCATGTTGCTGACAGGCCATCAGAGTGCTGTATACACAATGAAATTTAACCCTGCTGGAACAGTTATTGCTTCTGGGTCCCATGACAAAGAAATTTTTTTATGGAATGTTCATGGGGAATGCAAGAACTTTATGGTTTTGAAGGGGCACAAGAATGCTGTATTGGATCTTCACTGGACAACCGATGGTTCACAGATTATATCAGCCAGTCCAGACAAAACTGTGGGGGCATGGGATGTTGAAACAGGAAAAAGGATAAAGAAGATGGCTGAGCACTCTTCGTTTGTGAATTCTTGCCATCCTGCTCGAAGGGGACCTCCTCTTATTGTCAGTGGATCTGATGATGGAACTGCCAAACTCTGGGATATGCGTCTGAGGGGAGCGATCCAAACATTCCCTGATAAATATCAAATTACAGCTGTCAGCTTCTCTGATGCATCCGATAAAATCTTTACGGGAGGTATTGACAATGACATTAAGGTATGGGATTTGCGCAAAGTTGAAGTAATGATGACACTTCAAGGCCATCAAGATATGATAACAGGTATGTCATTGAGTCCTGATGGCTCTTATCTTCTGACTAATGGAATGGACAGTAAACTCTGCATTTGGGATATGCGCCCGTACGCACCCCAAAATCGCTGCGTGAAGATAATGGAAGGTCACCAGCACAATTTTGAAAAGAACCTGTTGAAGTGTGGCTGGTCCCCTGATGGAAGCAAGGTCACGGCTGGCAGTTCTGATCGGATGGTCTACGTATGGGACACCACTTCCCGACGCATCTTGTATATGCTGCCTGGCCACAGTGGATCCGTCAACGAGTCTGTTTTCCATCCCAACGAACCCATCATTGGATCGTGCAGTAGTGATAAACAGATCTATCTAGGGGAAATCTGAGCTTTACGGGCATGTAATGAAAACATCTACCTTTCTGTTGTGTTAGTGACTTGAACATTCTTGAGTTTTCGAAGGATTTTATTGCGTTGTAGTTTTGAACTTGAATCTTGATGGATTTATAGTTTGGTCTCTGAATTTCGCATGTCGTTGCTATACTCACGGCGCCATGCTTGCCGCGTGCGGCGTCCCGAATATCCCACAGTGTGCATTCTGTTTTTTTGTTACATTCATGGTGTTATATGTAGATTAAGTGAGTCGACATCTCCCCTGTATTTGTTATTTGTTTTGCAAAGTTGTTAAAGACGCAGCAAAAGTATTTTAAGAATACATGCATACATGATGAACTTACTATGTGGGTTTGGATAATGAGGAATTTTTATCACTACCGGGAATGATGGGCGATGGGCGATGGGCGATGGGCGATGGGCGATGTGCTCCAATCTCTCACTCGTATGTGCGATAATTTTAGTGAAATAATAGTCACGTGCTCATGTTATTAGCACACCAAAAGATTGTTCATGTCAAAAGTCGTGATAATTTCAATATAACATTTTAATGATATTCCTTTTAACTAATAAACAAGAAATGTTAATTTCGAATTCATAAACGAGTTCAAAACCAATTCAGTCTATGTATGGTCATGCTTGTTAGCACTTTAATTTTTAATGAGGTTTAGGCTTTACTAATGGAATATATAGTGCGTTTTTCGCTTGTTTAGTTTAGTATTGCTTTGTGAGGATTTCTTCAATTACTCAAGTAATTTTTTTTTTCAAACAATTGATATTGTTTGCACTAACCGAAAACCGAAATCGAAAAACCAAAAATTGAAAAAAAACTGAACCAAATGATAGGAGCATATTCATGCGACTTAAATGGCTTGTTCTCGTACATTTACGTTATGTTTCTTTAGTTATTTTAGTCCTTTATGCTTCTTTTGTGTGTTTTCAGGATCATAAGATGTGTTTGTCGAAAGGATGCATTTTGGAGCAGTTTGGGGCATTAAATGGATTGCATATGCTTAACGCCAAGTAGATGGACGAAATTGAAGACCAAATTATCATCACCACCTATCATACAATTATACACTTATCATCACCACATATCATTCACTTATCACTTAACATATCATTCACTTATCACTTATCATATCATTCACTTATCACTTATCATAACCATACACTTATCAATTATCATACCCATAAATATCAACACATGCATTTCAGCCACATGCACCCAAACACATTCTATGCTGTGGCCTCCCATCACCATTCCAGCTTTCCTTCATTGCAGCCACATGCATTTCCAACCTAGCATTCCCCCTTTAAGCCACATGCACCCATAATCATTCACCCTACCTTGCAACTCCACATGCATTTCCAACCCACATGCCCCTTTAATCATTCAATCACACCATCACACATTCACAAACCAACCCATTGTCGTGCCTTCCCTTGCCATTTTCAGCCATCACACTTCATCATTGCAGCCACCATTCACCCTAGTTGTCAATCACATACTTTCCCATTGTATAATTCATCCACATGCATCTTTAATCATTCACTCACAAGCTTTAACCAACAAACAAATCAGCCACAACACACAAACACACCCATGCCGTGGCCACCCTTGCATTTCCAGCATTCCCACATGCAATTCCAGCTTTCCAACCTAGCCACATTCACATGCATTCACTCATAATCATTCACCAAACTTGCAGCCACATTTCCACCTATTCCTAGCTGTCATGTTCCCTCTCATTACCTATAAATAAGCATGCATTGCAGCCACAATTGATTCATTCCATTCACAACACAACACACAACACAAAAACTGCCCTTGTGCCGTGCATTCCCTACCAATCCAAACACCATCACCTCCTTCTTTCTTCCACAAAACCTATCATTCTACATCATCCATAATCCCCCAAACCTCACCTTAGACCTTGTGCTACAACAACGAGGAAGAGAAGAGTGCCTAAACGTTCATACAATTCAAGTTTGAGTTGTTAGAATGTTTAGGTGTTTCTTTGATTTCAATGTTTAAATTCAATTCTCTTTGTTTTGTACGTATGAGGAATGGAAGAGAAGAGTGCCTAAACGTTCATACAATTCAAGTTTGAGTTGTTAGAATGTTTAGGTGTTTCTTTGATTTCAATGTTTAAATTCAATTCTCTTTGTTTTGTACGTATGAGGAATGGAAGAGAAGAGTGCCTAAACGTTCATACAATTCAATTTTGAGTTGTTGGAATGTTTAGGTGTTTCTTTGATTTCAAAGTTATGAGGAACTAAACCCCCTTTAGCTAGGGGGTGATTCGAAACTATGTTTATATTTGCAATATGAATTGATTAACTTTCGTTGGAATTTCATAAGTTGTGGATTCAATTTATTTAACCGTTTGATTGATAACTTATTTATGTATGTTTATTGAGAATGCGCGCTTAATTTTCATGCATGAATATGACGCTAGAATATAAGTGAGTTTCACCTAATCGATATGAACTTATATTCACAAGTAGTGGAGGTTGCTTATAAACAATCGTGTTAAATGAATTCTTGGCACGAGTTTCATGCTCATCATAGTAACGAATACCTCGTCAACACTTATAGTTTTCATAATGCTTAATGATCTTTGATTGTATCTTTATTGTGCTGTTCACATAAAGGACTTTTGGAGAATGTTGTGAATTGCGTTGCGCAAACCCATCCAATTCATTAACTTAAGGAAAACTTGACGGTTAATTTAAGCGGACCTAATTAATCCGGAGTGTTGAGTTTCATAATTTATCGAAAGACCAACTGAGAATCAATCTTGTATGCAAGTGTAACATGTGTGGAGAAGAACCCCTTGGCTATTCCATCATCCATATTTTCATCACATTCATATTTACGTTTTGCCTTTAATTACAATTTGTGCATTTTAGTTAATTTCGTCAAAAACTCAATTCCCCCCCCCCCATCTTTTGTTAAGTCTTAATCATTTGATAGGTTTTAGTATTTTACGTTTATTTAGTTTTGCATTCTTTGAGTTTAGTTAGTGTTTTAAATTTTAGTATTTTACGTTTATTTAGTTTTGCATTCTTTGAGTTTAGTATAGTGTTTTATATTGTGTTTCTACGTTTTTTTAGTCAAATCCAAGTGATTAACAATCCCTCCTAATCCCCAGTCCAGAACGATCTCTACTTACATACTTACTACAATTGATAAAAAGAGGGTTTAATTTGTGTGCGTATAAATTCACGCATCACCAAACCCAACCAAATCGAATCCCATTACACTTTATGAATGATGCCAATGATATTTCTTTTGTCAAACTTTACTACCAAGTTTGAAACTAAGCTTAGGGATTTTTCAAAGAGCATACTTGGTTCAATTAGGGAGGATATTCCATTGGTTATAGATGAAAGTTTTGGAAGACTTTGGAATTTGGAAGAGCTTCTCTATTTGTTTACTTTTGGAATAGATACAGTGATCATTTTTCTTTGCAATTGAAGTTGTTGATAGAATAAGAACGTGTTGATAGAATAAGATTGGTTCATATGATCTTGTATAGGTACAACTACGTTCCCATTTTTCTCATTTTCTTATTATTAGTCTATCAATGCAAGCCTCTTTTCTCAATTTCATATTAAAAAAAGATCAAGTTTTATAAAATAAAAAAAAACTAAAACTGAACCGAACAAAACCATATCGAATCAAAAGCGAACTGAAAAAAATCGTAAGAAAATTTTAGTTCAATTTTTCGATTTTGACAAAAAACCGAACCAAATGAAATCGAACCCTCTAGGCTAAGCCTCATGTCACAATGGGCTAGCATGGTTCAAATTCGCTTATAGCGATAATCGAAACCTAAAACTTGTCATGTACGAATAAAAAAAAATACCACTCCTAAGTAGCACTGGGTGATAATTACTCAAATATTGACCAATTGTAATTACTCGAATATCCTTAATAACTGGATGAAACTCGATCCCCTTCTTCTCTCGCGCTGATTCGAAATCAGTAAACAAAGAGAACCCATTTCCAGATTTCAGCAGTGAGAGACTGAAGAACGATTCAGTTGGAATTTTGTTTGGGCGAATTAAAAGGTTAGACTTTGAACACTCTCTCTATTACTATTTTATATGATTGGGTAGTGGAATTTTGAATGGGACGGGATTGGATGCATGCTTTGTGCATTCATGAATGTGTTTACTTTTGTACAGATTGAAATATTCCTATTGTTTTGTGTTTGTTCATGTAAGTTGGGTTCACTGTTCGTTGTGGGATGAGATTTTGGGCTCTATTTCTGTTTCGGTTTTGGCATATCGAATTTTTGAGAGATATTTGATAAGAATGAGGTTTTATAACTCAAACCATTCCCTGTAGCTATTTGATAATAGGACGAGTAGTTAAGAATCAAAGAGTGACGATTCGTCGTGGTCGAGGAGATTAAGAAAACAGATTATGCGTGTCAAACGTGGAGTCAACTATGTTCCAGTGGGAAACTCAAACTTACCAATTATCCTGCAATTGCACAGGAGATCGACTTTTCCTAAGCACTTGGCTGATCAATCTGCAGCCCCATCGGTTTTTATTCTTTTTGTGTATGAACGGGTCGAGAAAGCTAATTATATTAGGTGGTCCACTGGGTTTTTTTTTTTTTTTTTTTTTTGGAGAATAGGGTTATGGGTTTCCTTCATTTTTTGGGAAATTGATGAAATGGTCACTTTACAAATCCCAATTGTTGAACTGATCAAAATCAAATTGACGACGTTTAGATAAAAAAAAATAAAAAACAAAGCATAGAGATCAAATACTGATGGTATATGGATCACATACTAAAAAGTGATGATTTCATTGGTGTTGTTCGAGTGTTGAATCGTTTGTTGTTTTATGTTTGTTCAATGGTGTAGGATTTTGGGATGAGGATCAGTAAAACAGAGGTGAATTTGAGGAGGCTGCTTGCATCTGCGCCCCAGCAACATAACCAGGCAAAACTTGTACATGTATGTTGTTATTAGAATTACAGGTTACAAGGTGTTATCCATTTTTAGATAATTGCTTTGTGCCAAATATTTCCGGTTTCTTGGCTTTATATTTGTTTTTGCTTGGGGGATATCTACCATTTATGGATGACATAAGTAGTGCTACTTTGCAGTATGTTGCTACTTTACGGGAACTGGTAGAACAACTAGCTGAAGAGAGAAATCCAGAAGGCTTACCAAGGTATGAGGTTGATTCACATTCCAAACATTATGTTGTTGATACTGGGTCTTACGGTAGCTATGCCGATCAACATTTTCATATTATCTATTTCTATGTATTTTGTTGATACGGTTCCCTACTTAAGAGTTTGTAAGATTCTTAGTTATTGAAATCATTATTTGCGATTTTATATACAGAGTTTCAAAGGCTGTTATGAGTGACTATTCAGAGAAGATCGAAGCCATTGCTTCCAAATTAGCTGCTCCACCGGTGCGTACATATGATCTAGAAATCATTCATGTCACTATTGTTGAAGTATTGATAATATGTACTTTAAACCAGTTATTAATGTACTTTTGATTTACAATTTTCTGTGGAATTAAGTATCATGTATGATTCAAATCAATTTTACTTTAGCTTTGATGGATCGTTGGACAGTTTTTAGTTCTTATGCAGGGAACAATTTCGAGACAGTTTATAGTTCAAGTTTCATGCTTGTAATGATTCTGAATCTCCTTCAGTGCATCAGTACATGTAATTTGTTGCGTCATTTTTGTTATCTTGAGAGTGAATCTGTAATATATGGATAATGTTTTCTTGCATATCGGACATGGTATATTATGTTGTGAATCTGGCATCACATATGAAAGCAGGAGTTTACCTGATCAGTGGTCCAGATTAACAGCTTGGCAAGAGAATATTTCTTTAGAATGTAATGTTTTTAATTTTTTGGTCGAAGAATGTAGGGTATGTATGTGCAATATATGGAGTTCCTTGCTCCTAACTATGATTTATTTCGCAATTCCCAGCCTGATATTCAAACACCTGAAGAGCCCCTTGCAAGCTCTTCTGATACAGGAGACAATCAGATTCCCGCTTCTCCAGGTCTGAGAAGGAGATTTGTGTAAGTGAATGATAGTTAGGATCACAATGGTTTCAGTTCCTTAGTGAGTTTTTGTCTGCAATGACTTGTTTTATTTTAACTGTGTTTTTGTTAAATAGGCCTCCCTCAAATATCAAAGATGGAGCTCGTGAGACTGTTAATGTTGATTCTTCGGCACCTGTTAAACTGGATGCTGCAGCCCAAGCACACATTGAAAAGCATAGGTATATTATTACTATCTCAATTTCTTCTATTAAACTGGAGTAATGAGACTGGATGAATTTGAAAACGGGAGTTCTAGGATGTTGGTCATAAATTGGGACTGCAATGTACTTATATATGTTTTCAATATGAAGTTACTTTTCTTTTAAGCCGAGAAAGAAGTTGATTTTTGTTTAAAAATAAATGGGATATGATTCTTTTACAAATAGAAATGACATGGATGCTCCCTTGGGATATTTGATAAAATTAGAGCAATAGAATTGGGCAACTTTGGGATTAGTTCCATCTATTTGTACAATTTTCTTTCTTTACTTAGTTGGTAACAAAGACAAAACACTACCTAAAAACAAATCTTGGTCTACAAACCAGCCTGTCTGTTATTCAGAGTGCTTATTAAGGAACTAGGGGGACCATCCAAATTGTATCAACCCAAGTCCATGTCCTGCCCATGTCTTTCCTGCCATCTGCTGCGATACTAAGATCTTTCTGCATGTTTGGTACACCACCGCCAACAGATGGTGGCTAGAATCAACATGACCTTTAACCAGAACCCACCAGAGTAGATACTGTTACTGTTAGAGAGGAAATTGCTTCGATCCCAAGTCAATTGGTGTCCATAAAGTAGAGGTCACACAATTCAGCAGTTAAAACTTCAAGTGTTAATTACATTTCCTTTCCACATTATGTTTACGACTCTTATAAATTTTCTCTCATGTTTTACAGAAAGCTTCAAGAGGATTTGACAGACGAAATGGTTGGATTGGCTAGGCAACTCAAAGAGAGTAGTCTCATGATGAGTCACTCCCTGGAGAACACTGAAAAAGTAAGATACCCTGAGATATCTATTGCAGGATGTTGTAAGGTCTATAGAATCAATACTATTTGGATTTAGCTGGCTGTGGTTTGATTTGTTTAGGTTGACACTGAAGGGAAGTTAAGGTGAATATTGCATAGTATTTAGAGGGTGTGAGATTAGGATAAATGCTTGAAAAGGAAAATGTTAAACAAAGAATCGAGTGTTGGGACTGAAACGAATCCTAAGAGCCTGTTGGTATCTTATTTGGATCCAACTTTTTATACTCAATAATGATTTTTTTAGTCACAAGCTAATAAATCTCTCTCTCTCTCTCTCTCTCTCTCTCTCTCTCTGCGAAAGCGGGTTCAACTCCGTCGCTAGAGCTACTCTCTTGTAGTGCCATCCTAAGTCGATGTGGTAGAGGAGAGATGTTGTGCTCTGTTGGATATGGTGGTGAAGTAATGGATCTATCATCTGATTGGCTAATTGTGGATTAGAGCTTAGGGGGACTGGGGAGGTCGACGGAAGGGGAACTGATTGAATTTTTGTTTCGAAATGGTTTTAGAAATGATGAAAACATTTGAGTAGGATACCAAACGGGCCCCAAGACACAGGGGCTAAAACAAATAGATTTGCAGAGGAATTTAAGTGGTAACAGGAGAACTGATTAAATTTTTGATTAGAAATGTATGATACTTCAAGAAACTAGTTGTTATAACTGTCTACTCTCTGGTGTCTCATATGTAAATTCATAGCTGATGGAAGGATATATACGTTGATCTCATAACTTAGTTATGGCTTGTATGCAGATACTTGACTCCACAGAGAAGGCTGTTGAAAGTAGCTTGGCAAGCACTGGCCATGCCACCACACGGGCGACAGATATATACTCAAAGACGTCCAAAACTACTTGTTTCACATGGCTTCTGATGTTTGTAATGACATGCGTATTCATCATGGTGGTTCTTTTAATTCGCGTCACTTAAGGGTATGTTGTGTTAGGAAGACTGATCTTTCGTCCCATAATTTCTACGTATAATTTGCAACGTTGAACATCGACAGTTTACGAATAGGTATAATCTCGGAGCATAGCATTGTTGATGGATCATCAGAAATGAACAGGGAATGGTTTGAAATGTTAATGATACTACGACGCTAGTCACCGGAACATTTCAAAGGACTGCACTGCAACTTTCATTGGTGATGGTCCTGCTACATATTGTAATTAGAATTAGCAGATGTTAACTTACTAGTTTCTACTCTCCAAAGGGTTGTACACCATGTAAACAAGCAAAGAACCATGTTAGAAACGTCTCACATGAGCCTAATTTTAACATGATATCACACCAATTATTCTTGCGTTAGTTGACCCATTTGCGTTGTGTTTTTTGGATCATTGATGCACATTGGACATTGCAAGAGCGGATTTCTCATTCCTCTTCCCCTATCTATCTTAGGGTCTAGTTTGGTATTGCTGTGCATTTTAAAAAAAACTGCTTCTGCTGTGTTATGGTATTTAATGTGATAAATTATTATAAAAAAGAATAATGTGGGGTTAAAAATTGTAATTTGGTAAAATATGTGGGGAGTATGCTTGCTATTTGAAAATTTTATTAAGTGCGCAATGATTACTATGCTTTGAAAGAAAAAAAAAGAACTTTAGAAACATGGTAGATCCTACTTAATGCTTTTACTTTTCTATGCTTTTCTATTCTCATTGACGTAATTTTTAAGAAAAAAACGCCTTTTTTTATTTTACTAAATAAATTTGATGTTCTAGGTTTTTTTAATAAGCTCTATTTTAAAAAACACCACAATTGCAAGCCAGCTATAAGAAAAGGCACTTAGCTTATTCATGTCTAAGTAAGGAGAAAGTTGCATGCGTTATGACAATGAGGTTTACAATTTGAGCCTACTTTTCCAACTTAATCAGTTCTGCATATTAACAAAGTTACATTTGTTTTGACCTATATGAACAAGTAAGCGCATAAAGACATATGTTTAGCTACTAATTTATCGTGACTTCAAATTAAAAAAAAAATAATAATAAAAAAACAAATAAAAGCCAGGTTTATATCAGAACATTTTACAGGGCACGAAGATTGCAGATCAACTTTTGGAACACGGTGATAGCAACGCCCGCCATTCTCTTCTCTATATAAACTGTGAAGCAGTCTACCATTTGGGTATAACCTTCTCTCCCATCCATTTACTTCATCAAATCCCAGTAGCTTCAGTTACTAGCTTTACACCATGGAGTACATCAACCAGTACTACTGCAAATGTATTATTTTGGCTTTGATCTTCATGCTGGGAGCCTTGTCTTCTCAAGCCACTTCTCGCACTCTCCAAGATGCATCAATGTACGGGAGATACGAGCAATGGATGGCTCGTTATGGACGTGTATATTCTGACATTAACGAGAAGGAGAAGCGCTTCAATATTTTCAAGGAAAATGTTGCGTTCATAGGATCTTCCAACAATGATGCAAACAAACTTTACAAATTGAGCGTCAATCAATTTGCAGACCTTACGAATGAAGAATTCAAAGCCTCGAGAAATAGATTCATGGGGCACGAATGTTCCGCAAAGACGACTTCTTTCAAATATGAAAATGTTACTGCACCACCAACTGTAGATTGGAGAAAGAAAGGAGCTGTGACACCAGTCAAGGACCAAGGCCAATGTGGTAATCAATTTTATTTATAACTTGGAACTTCATTAAACGGTTTCTAGTACTCTAACTATGATTTAATTGCAATATTACACAAATCTATGTCTATTAAATTAACCACTACTTAATTTATGCCAAAAAAACAAAAAAACAAAAAAAAAACACAATATCTTACTGCAACAAAATACTTGCAGGATGTTGTTGGGCTTTTTCAGCGGTGGCAGCCATGGAAGGAATTACTAAGCTTACAACTGGTAAATTGATATCTTTGTCTGAGCAAGAGTTGGTTGACTGTGACACAAGCGGTGTAGATCAAGGTTGTGAGGGTGGTTTGATGGATGATGCATTTCAATTCATTAATCAAAACCATGGGCTTAGTACCGAGACTAATTATCCTTACACTGGTGTTGATGGTACTTGCAACACCAAGAAGGAGGCCAACCATGCAGCCAAAATAACTGGTCATGAAGATGTGCCTGCAAACAGTGAAGAAGCCCTTCTGAAGGCTGTTGCAAATCAGCCAATTTCTGTTGCCATTGATGCTGGAGGTTCCGATTTTCAATTCTATTCAAGTGGTGTCTTTACAGGAACTTGTGGAACGAGTCTTGATCATGGGGTTACCGCTGTTGGTTATGGAGTCAGTGCTGATGGGACTAAGTATTGGTTGGTGAAGAACTCATGGGGCACTGAATGGGGTGAAGAAGGATACATAAGAATGCAGAGAGGTATTGAGGCAAAGGAAGGTCTTTGTGGCATTGCTATGGAAGCCTCTTACCCCACTGCATAACTTGAATTACCATCCAAATCAATGCCTACAATATCTAATACCCTGGACGTGTATATCGTAATATGTACATGATGAACTTGTACGTTTAGTACAATATGCTATATGGTCTGCGCATGGGTAGTACCAAGTTTATAATTACAAATGAAGAACTTATTCGATCTTTTAGTTGAATTGTCTAGTTACGCTAAATTTAACCACTTGCTAAAATTAGGTTTATCTGTTAATTCTCTGATATGATTCATCCCCTCAAAGGAGGTATATATTTAGTCAACAAGCCTTGTAGAGCAAGAATAATAATAACTCCTAATTCTAAATAAAGTAGGAAACGAAACCTAAATAGGAAATGTAACCCACTAATTACTAATTACAATTAATCCTACAAGTCAAGCTGCACTAAAGTGAAAAGTCTTAGGTTCATTTCTCACCGCATATTATTGCTAATCCATTGTAAGGCTTAGCCCACTCCCCCATCTCTTAGTGTCGATAATATCGTTTGTTTTAAAATAAAAAAAAAAAATTGGTGCATATATGTTGTTGATGCCCGACTTGCTAAATGGGTTGTAAAATGCGTTGCTCAAAATTGCTTTTATTAGCATATCGGCTAATTGGTTCTTCGACTTCACAAACAAAAATTGAACAATCAGACCTTCCAATTTCTCTTTGATGAAATATTTATCCACCTCAACATATTTGTTGCGATCATGTTAAACTAGATTATGAGCAATTTCAGTTGCAGCTTTATTGTCACAACATATATTCATATGAATTCAATTCCCAATTTAATTCCTATTATTGAGGGACATATACTAATTTTATAATATTTTCAACTACAGATCGGGATACAAACCAAAGGTCTTGAGCGACCGCTCCGGCAAAACAACTCAAAAGATAAAGACGTATAATTAATTTCTTCATGCTCGTTCCAAGTTCAAAGTACCATTAGTGCAAATGAGAATCTCCTTTGTTACATGATTTCTTCTTTATATAGATAGATGTTGGATCTATGGAGCAATTACTTAAAAGAAGATTTTGTACAACAGTCCTTCCTATGTCATAGAAAAGGATACCATGATTCTGAACCAATCTAACTTGGAATCGCAAATCCTAAGTTTGTCCATGAAGAGCATATCAAATTATATTAGTGTCTATAATTGATTTCTTTTGTGTAATACTAATCGATGGGGCCTCATTGATAAGTGCTACCAGATCTCGCAAATATATTAACTCATATATCATTTTTTGTCATTTCAATTGTAATTACAATTTATTAGGAGATGAAATCATAAGAGTAGATGATTCGTCAAAAAATTGGATGATAGCTACATTTTTTGTGCATGACAAGATTATTAGTTACTCGTTGGGAACAACAGCAAATAGTAATTTTTTGGCATGCATATTCGTGGAAGTAAATCTCATTATAAAATCTTATCTTTATCCTTACAAAAATTGAACGGGAATGAATTTTGAATCGGATGGCTCGCCCAACGGGAAAGGCCTTGACCCTGCCAACTAAAAGAAGAAAGAAAAGAACAGAAGGAGAAAACAACTTCTTTGTAATTCTCTAGGAGTCATATTTAAATTTGAATACTATCAATAAATTTTACATCAATAGTCCCACGATGATTTAGTAGCAGTGGCTGGCAAAGTTGATTTCTTGCCTATTATATTAGGACCTGCAGATTTTTTGGTGCATCACATTCATGCATTTACAATTCATGTGATGATATTAATACTCTTGAGAGGTGTTTTATTTGCTTATAGTTTGCATTTGATATCAGATAAAGAAAATCTTTAAAATGAAAAGAAAATGAAAATATGCTACATTGACCTATCATTTGTTCAATTTGGTCGATCTGATACTTAGTTAATTCTTTTATGTTTATGTTCCCACTGATACCTAATAAATAACAAATCTTAATGGCTTTTTAGGTCCAATTCCATCAATTTTTGTTGATTCAATTCTTACTTGTTCATCGGCAAAGCGTAAAGTAACCAAATTTCCTCTAACAAAGGTAAACTAACTATATGGGGGTCTTCCGTTAGTGATATTATTTGCTCAATCAGTTAATTTTTTTTATGCCCATAAAGCTAATTAAGTTTTGTTGATGTACAAAATCAGCGAGACTTTGAAACTATTTAAAGTGTTAAAGTTTGTGACATTCTCACGGTTTATCCATCACCTAGTAAGGATAATATGTAAAGAGATAGAGATAAAGAAGTAAACACAAGATGTACGTGGCTCACCCTAAGTTGGGCTATGTCCACGAGGGTATAGGAGTTCTTATTAATAATGAAGAGTTTACACAATACATAGGTTCAAGCATAATCATCATTAGTGAGTTCTAATGACGAGTTTAAGTACAATAATGGCATTAGGGATTAATTGAGGAGAATGGTTTCCTTTTATAGTTGAGAAGAGTCTCCGGCTTTCATCTGTGGTCGATGTAAGATTCTAGAAGGTTTATTCTGATGTCGCACCACGTGTCGCATTGTGATTGACATCCTGGTTTGGGAGAAACTCTTGTGCTTCGACATGGGTTCCTTAGCACAAATTCTTTAGTGGGTCCTTCAAGGTATGAAGTTGATCGATACTCAGTAGTTTTCAGATTGGTGAAATAGGGTACAAACAAGTTTAAAGAGAGGTGGTCATCTTGAGCGTAATTAGAGGTGGATTGTCATTTAGTATTGCGGTATAGTGTTATTCCTCTTCACATGTAAGTGAAAGGTCTTAGCTTTGATTCTCGTTAAAAGCGAATTTGACTCACATTATTGCTAGCCCATTGTGAGGTTAAATCCGCCACTCATTTTGCCTTAGTGTAGATAATATTGTTTGTTTTAAAAAAAAAAAAAAAAAAAAAGTAGAGGTGGATCAATTTGACTGGAAGCATTAGGTGGCGTGACTT